TAACAATTATTACATGTCAACTAAGCATAGAGAAAGAATAAAAAGTAAAAAACCTCAAAATGTTCTTATCTCCTCTATTTTTTTATGTTAAGTCTAAAAGCAAGTTGAATTAGACTTAACATGAAAGTTTATTTCATGTTAAGTCTAATTCAGTTCATGTTAAGTCTAATTTAATTCTTTTTAAGTCTAATTTAAATCATGTTATGTCTAATTCAACTTGTTTCAAGTCTAATTTAATTTATGTTAAGTCTAATTCAACTTGTTTTAAGTCTAATTTCATGTTGAGTCCAATTTAATTCATATTAAGTCTAATTTAATTCATTTTAAGTTTAATTTAAATCATGTTATGTCTAATTCAACTTGTTTTAAGTCTAATTTAATTGGACTTAACATAAAATTAGACTTAAAAAGTTTAATTAGACTTAATATGAATTAAAGTAGACTTAACATGAACTAAATTGGACTTAACATAAATCAAATTTGACTTGATATGAAAATAGACTTAAATGATTTAAATTAGACTTAAAATGATTTAAACTGGACTTAACACGAACTAAACTGGACTTAATACGAATCAAACTGGACTTAACATGAAACTAGACTTAACATGAACCAAAACTGGACTTAACATGAAATTAGACTTAACATAAACTAAACTGGACTTAACATGGTAAACTGGACTTAACATGAAACTAGACTTAACATGAATCAAAAGTAGACTTAACATGAAATTAGACTTAACATGAATCAAAAGTAGACTTAACATGAAATTAGACTTAACATGAATCAAAAGTAGACTTAACATGAAATTAGACTTAACATGAACCAAACTGGACTTAACATGTTTGGTTCATGTTATCAAGTCTAGTTTTGGTTCATGCTAAGTCTAATTTCATGTTAAGTCGAGTTTTGGTTTATGTTAAGTCTAGTTTCATGTGAAGTCTAGTTTGATCCGTATTAACTCCAGTTTGGTTCGTGTTAAGTCCAGTTTAAATCATTTTAAGTCTAATTTAAATCGTTTTAAGTCTAATTTCATATTAAGTCCAATAATTCATGTTAAGTCCAATTTAGTTCATGTTAAGTCCAATTTAATTCATGTTAAGTTTAATTTAATTCTTTTTAAGTCTAATTTATATCATGTTATGTCTAATTCAACTTATTTTAAGTCTAAAGAAACTCTTGGCTGTTGAATTAGAGTTTTTACTTTTGGGGTTGAACCACATGAGAAAAAAAATGGAGGGGCTGAAGCACATAAAGCTTTTGTTTTTGGGGACTTAACATAATTTTTCCTAAGATATTATATCCATCATCGTGCTTCATTATAATCGATTTGTTTTTAACAAGAGGGGAAAAAACATCGAACCCGGTCTCCCAATAATAAAGGGCACATGATGTCGCATTGAATTTTGGAGTACTTTTGTCTCTTGGCTGTTGCATGGTATATACTTTCAAATATTTATATACGTGTATTCTTCACGTCTGTGAAATTTGACATATTTTATACCCACATATGTCTATTTTCCAAAGTTTGTTAATGTCTCTGAATTTTGCAATATCACTTACACAAAAAATAATACTTGATGAATAAAAAAAATTAAAATAATAAAAATACTTGAGTAAATGACAACTTTTCATGGATAGTTATCACTTGTGTAACATTTATCTATATATACTAAAACTAATGGGTCGGTTCCAAAGCGCAGTAGCACCCAATAGTTTAGTATTAAAAATATAGTTTTACTTATTAGTCCAAATTTTAACATATTTTAACTTTTTAACCCGAAAAGAACTATGCTGTATCAACTTCCAAGAAACTATAGGAATAGCGGCTGCCAACTAGCATAATATAATAATATATATTAAAGGTTTTTTCTTAAAGATCCTACATTTTACCTAATTTATTTTTAAACTCCAAATTCTCACATAAAGAGCTTTATTCCTTCAGAAATTAAAGATTTACTTCTCGTATTTAAACCTATCTGCTACTAAGATCACTCTTAGTTGTAGGCGTCAAAAAATGCTTACAGACATTCAAACACCACTCAAGATGACATAGGAGAATATACACGTCATCAAACAACACATGGCGGCGCGACAAGACATAGTGCCGCGGCTAAGGCACGGCAGACCAAGATGCCACGGCTAAGGCGCGGCAGATCAAAGTGCCGCGGCTAAGGCGCGGCAGCCTATGATGCCGCGGCTTAACCGCTGCAGCCTATGGTGCCGCGGCTTAACCGCTACAACCTATGGTGCCGCGGCAATTAAAGAAGAATGTTGTGGCAGTTTTAAGGGAGTTATCTGATGATTTTTGAAGACCACGTGGCGGCGTATCAGAAATAGAACGTGTGCTGACGTGGACAAGCAGTTAAACCACGAAAAAGGTGGTTAAAAGTCGTGGGAGGACAGTTTCAAGCACGATGGAACGTGCTGGTAACTGCTCCTGTGGCCGCTGCAGTTCATGCTGCCGCGCCAATAGCCGCTGCAGTCCATGCTGCCGCGCCAATAGCCGCTGCAGTCCGGGATGTCGCGGTCAAAGGGATAGTCGTTGATCGGCTATTTCTTCAGTTATTGTCCAAGGAGGCTATAAATACCCCCCTATGGACATCATTGACAGGGGCTGAGCATTTTCCAGAGAGATTAGAGCAGAGAGCCTTGAGTTTTGGTGAATTAGAGCAAGAGAGAGAGTCTTCCTTCTTCACAAACATCCTCAAGAAGCTTCTAGCGAGTCCTAGAGATCTAAGCTCAGACTTGATCTTTGGAAGAGTGAACATCTTACATCGATAAGATATTCGCTTCAAATTCTTACTTCGATAAACGAAGGAAGAATCATTAATCCCCTCACGGTTCAATCAGAATCTGTGATTCGGTGGTCCACGAGTCAAAGCGCTCCCGGCACAGGCAAAGATCCCACGCAAGCAGCGATCCAAACAACGGTCCTGCGTTTGTTTCTCAAGAGTTGTAATTTTCCTTTTGTTGTGTAAAAGAAGTCTTATAAAAAGACTATTTCTTTTGAATTTATTGTAATCGACCGAAGATATAATGAATTCCATGACAAAACCAACTTTTGACGCAAACAGGATCATAAATCATAATAATAGCTAAGATGAGGTGGGCTATTGGAAGTATTCAGAAAGGATCATAACAGCTAAGGTCCTTATGAATAAAGTCATTAGGATTAAAGGTTATGTGGTGTTGAGTTGAGAAGGTGAAGGATAGTGAGAAATATTTTGTTATTATTTTTTTAACGGTACAAGACTCAATACTCTCTAATAGAAACACAAACTAGTGAGAAATATTTTGTTATTATTTTTTTTAGCCGTACAAGACTCAATATATACTCTCTAGTAGAAACACAAACTACTACGCTCTTTACCCTCGCTCACTATTTATTTTTCTCTTTATTAATTTATCTCTCTCTTTATTTTTTCCACTGCTACTGGAATGATACCCACTGATGGCTTTGAGGTTATTTATAGGTGATATTGTGTTAGGTGTACACTGCAGGTAGCTACAGTGATGCTACAGTAATGGTTGGCGGCGTAGCGCGTGGCTACTGTTTGTTTACTGTAGCAATGGTGGCCCGGGTAGGCATATCAGTGATGATTTTCACATGTGGTGGTTGTTGATACACAGGGAATGTTCATCAAGTCATCTCCCTGAGTCGCCGAGTAAATGGTCGAGTGTCCTTGGTGGGTCGTCTTCGACGATAGGGTTAGCTAATCCCGCCTTTCGTGTCGGCATGAAAGAATGTCGACTTGATGAGTCAGCGAGGTCGAGACCTCTGTTGAGCTTGGGACACTAAGTTGATCGGGGCCTTGTTTGCCGAAATGCACTCATCGGTGCTTTGTTTATACATTATATTTCTAGCGAATGGGAACACCGTAACAAGACTCAATACTCTCTAATGGAAACACAAACTACTACACTATTTTACACTCACTCGCTATTTATTTTCCTCTTTATTTATCTCTCTTTATTTTTCTAGTGTTACTAGAATGATACCCACTGAAGGCTTTGGGGGTTATTTATAGACCAACTCCAGCAGGGGATAATTGAAATTCACTTTATCCCCTGCCACATCATATTATTCTCCTATTACATCATCAATTGTCCCCATTATCACATGCACTCCACAGCAGGGGACAATTCAAAAAATAATTCACTTTTCTATTGGAATTTTGAAGTTGGTTAGGATACATGAAAGGTGGGGGATGATTAAAATTTTGATTAGGGTCCATATTTGAAAGATAGCAAAGTTTTTGGAGGAAGATAGAAATCTTGAAGAAAATAGGAAAAAAAAATTTGGTGTCCAAATGAAGTAAATTTGGACTCTATTTATAGATCTCGGAAAAAGAAAAATTATGGTGATTTTTTTTTTATTTGATCAATTTATTGGTAAAAAATACCATTTAAAAAAAAGGGTGGAAATAAAAATCGCATTGCCCAACAAAAAGTTGCCACATGTCGCATGTGCATCTCATCTCCTTTACTTTTTCTCCCGCGCATGAATTGTCTTCCAGCAACAAATAATTGAGGAGACCAAAGACACATGGCATAATTTGATTTGTTTTCCTTTCAATAATACCCTATTTATTCAATAATTCCTAAATAAAGCCACATCATTCTACCTTTCCAATTATCCATTGTTGGAGCCAATTATCCCTCCAATTATCCATTGCTGGAGTTGGTCTAAGTGAAAATGTGGTTGGTTGGCGGCGTAGCACGTGGCTACTGTTCGTTTACTGTAGAAATGGAGGCCGGGGTTTGCCCGGGTAGGCAGATCAGTGATGATTTTCACGTGTGGCTGTTGTTGTTACACATGAAATAGAAAGAGAAGTTCCTCTTTGCTTGCGACTGCGTTTGAGTTTTCTCACTTCTTGGGTGCCTCTCTCTCTCTTTCAATTGATGAAAATTTGCCTTCTAAATTCTTTTCTCTCCTCTCTCTATAAATAAACTAGAAAATAAAATAAAGAGATAGATATAAAAAAAATAAATCGAAAATGGCGAAGTTTTTTAGTCTGAATACAGGAGGAAAGATCCCCTCAGTGGGTCTTGGCACCTGGCAAGCGCAGCCCGGCATCGTTGAAGAGGCCATTATAACCGCTGTTATGGTGTTTTTCTTTTTAGTTTTCTTCTTCTTCTTTTTTTTCTTTTATTTTTTGGAGTTATAATTGAGATATTCTTCAATTGATATCAATGCAGGCTGGGTATAGGCACATCGACTGCGCTGCGTTCTATGAAAACGAGGAGGAGGTATAATATTTGCACTTTAGAAAAAATATGCTCAGTTATAGTCATTTTCTTCATTGTATGCTCCGCCATGAAATTTATAATAGCAATGTAGACTGCATGTATTGCATTGCCAATTGATTACTAGTATAGATTTGGGCTGCATACATTTAAAAAAACCATCATCATGGCATAATATCATATTATCAGTGTCATAACAACCAATGCCAAGAACTAAAAACCAAGCACCAGGTTATATAACCAGGAACTAACAACCAAGCACCAAGTTATGAAAACTAGCATGTAATGCACAAATAGCCAGCACGAAGGAAACCAAACCAAGGCTGAAAGCAAGGCCGAGACCAAAATTGGATGGAAACACACTTGACAAGCACACAATTGATGGGGTAAAACGCATTCACAAAGTTCTGCAACAAGGCCAACGAAGAATTGTCACATAATCCTGTTGATGGGGTAAAACGCATTGGTATAAAACTTGGCAATCTGTAATGAAACTAAAGGCCAAGTACACAACTGAAACCAAACATAGCTGACCAACACATCACAACTGAATCATTGGCTGCACACAATCAAAATATTGCTGAAAATTAAGACAAGTAAGCACACAACTGAAGTCCAAGGGCCAATACTACAGAGTATCAGATGGAAAATGTATCCTGGAAACCAAGTATGCAACAACACAATAAGCAACCAAATGTATCCTGGAAATTCAGACAAGTTGGAACAAAACTAAAACCAAAAGAAAGCACATAACTGAAACCACATGCAAGCACACAACTGAAAATGAGAAATCTATGGTAAGTTTATGTTAGGTTGGTGTAGTTGAGAACTTCTAATTTGGTTTTTTATTGGTTTATCTAATACTTGTCTACAATAATTTCTGTATTAATTTTGAGAAATATTTCTAAGCTTTCAATTTGATTTTTTATGCATGAATTTGATCATTTAAGCTTGAACCTGAGCAAAAATCAGAATTGATCATAAACAAAACCAAAGCATATATATTAAGTTAAATAAAATTAGTGCTCAAATAGAGCTCACAACACCGCAAAAATTAGTTATCATTTTAGCATGAACTCAGAACAAATCAGAGCTCAAACAGAGCACGAAACACAACAAATTAGAGCTCGAAATCGGAGCAAAAATCAAAGTTCAAATCGGAACAAGATCTCAAGATGAAACTCATCACAAATGAAATTTAATCCGTTTTAACATGAACGGATTAGATACAAAAGCGTTGGGGGGGGGGGGCGGCGTTACCTGAGTTAGCCGCAAGATTCTCAAGCGAACAGCGAGCCTCATTCTCAAATCCCCAAATCAACCCCAAAAACGATTCTTCAAGAATATTGATCGCGTTGTTCCTCGAGGAAAACGCGATGAGATCCGATGCTCGCTTGCCACAGGAGAGATGCGTTGCGAATTGATGTGGGAAATTGGACCTTTTGGGTGGACCAAGCTGAGGAGCATGAGCGGCTCAAACGAGCGGCCGGTTCGAGAATTGAGGGAAGAGAATTGGCGCACGTGTGATTCGTAACCTAGGCTGTGAAAGGGAGGGGGCGGGCGGGGAGGATCTGCGGCCTTTTTATATCACTCTCCATTGCGAAATCGCGGGTTTTGGGGATGGAAACAATTTTTCCCCCAAATCCCACGTGTATCCCGTTTTCTGTCCCGCTTTCTTTGGCCGCTTAAACGAACCAAACACCCACAAACAAAGAAAACTGACAGTTTTTTCCTTGTCAGTTTTCATTTTGAGATTTTCTTCACATTTTTTTACTAACCAAACAGACCCTTGATTATTAGTAGTTTTTTTTATACCAGAATCCACAATTGCAAAAATTGGCAGTTAGAATTACACTTAGATATTCACTGTAATTATGGAAAAAGTTACTAACATTTGCAGATGCCACTTGTGACCAAATTGACAAAAATAGTTCTTTTTTAAGTAGTCTTTTTTGTGACTATAGTTGTGAGAAAAGCTTTCAGTTGCAGCACAACAACTGCAATTTTCTTTTGAAAATGGCATGCTATTTGCAGATTGGATTAGCATTGAACAAGTTGTTTGAAGATGGTGTTGTAAAGAGAGAAGACATCTTTGTCACCTCCAAGCTCTGGTTAGTTTTCGCCATATTTCGCTCAATAGGAAAAGAAGGCTAAATGATGGTTATAAAGAAAACCGACGTTATTGATACTACTATTAGAAAACCGACGTTATTGATACTACTATTTGATCGTTACAGGTGCACTGAGCATGATCCAGAGGATGTGCCGGTGGCATTAGATTCAACATTGAAACGACTACAGCTCGACTACCTTGATCTTTATCTTGTACGTACCTCTTTGTTCTTTTCATTGAACATTGAAGCTGACTAGTATCAGTCACTTAAATATGTTGTTATTTAGAATAATGGATGTTAAAATATTTATGACTTAAATTTGATATGTCGAGCGTCTATGTTGTAGACGTTGTTAATTTTTCCGCACATCAACTTTAAGTATCATAGGTTGCGGTCCAAATTTAGCAGATAATATCATACATGGAAGAACAAGTCATAATTTTTTTTTAGAAAAACCTTTAATCTGTTTTTTTATGAATATTGTTTTGAAAATATAACCAACTTATAAAAATTCTTGCAGATTCACTGGCCTGTCAGGCTGAAGAAGGGGACTAGTCTAAGTGCAGAGAATGTGATACCATCAGATATCCCTAGCACTTGGGCTGCAATGGAGAAGCTGTATGATTCAGGCAAGGCCAAAGCCATTGGTGTGAGCAACTTCACTTGCAAGAAATTGGGGGATCTTCTCGATGTCGCTCGTGTTCCTCCTGCAGTTAATCAAGTTGAATGTCACCCCGTCTGGCAACAGAAGAAACTCAGATCATACTGCGAGTCCAAGGGAATCCATCTGAGTGTGAGTCCAAGGACTAATCTTATTCTTTCATTCAGTTCTGTTAAGTGATTTTTCCTTCGTTACGTTAAATTATTACCGTATCATTCTTTAACTGTTTTTGTATCACGTTCGTTTAGCTTTTATCTTCGGTTCTCCTTACGAAATTAACAATATAACTTGGCGCGCATGAGCTAACCTGGTATAAGTGCTCTCTGTCGCTCAGGACCTAACCTTAATCAATTCCCTCTCGTTTCATTGTCAATAGGTAGACACTCGGTACTATCACCAAATTGAACTTACTGCCCCAATACTTCTATTGTTGCAAATAGACCCCTTGAGTGATTTTTTTTTTTTTTGACACTTCTCAGGGGACTACTGCAAATATAGATTTTCACTTTGGGGGTCTACGTGCAACAATAGAAGTCTTTCAGGGCGTCTATCTGCAACAATATTAGAACTGCAGGGGTCGTAAATTCCACGTGACCATGGTAGAGGGGGCCTGTCTGCAGTTAACCCATAGTAGTACTAGTAATCTCTAAATATATACACTCGTATCCGTCCTAAGGGATTTTCCTTCAATAAAAACATCTAATCTTTACGAAGCATCAAATACATTAATGTTTAATTTCAGGCTTACTCTCCATTAGGCTCCCCAGGATCAGAATGGTTCAAGAACAGCAGCGTGCTATCGCACCCTATTATTACTGAGATTGCAGAAAAACTAGGGAGGAATCCTGGACAGGTTGTTCTTCGCTGGGGGATACAGATGGGTCACAGCGTGCTACCTAAGAGCACAAACGAAGTCAGATTGAGAGGAAATCTTGATATATTTGATTGGTCGATACCTGAGGATTTGTTCGCTAAGTTTGATGAAATTGAACAAGTATGGACGCCAAGAGGCCATTTATTCATCAGAGCTGACGGCATCTACAAGAGTGAGGAGGAGCTCTGGGATGGAGAGATATGAACAAGTAACAACTTCAAAAATGTACTAGCGGCGTACTGAGCCTTTTTTATCCTACGTAAACATTCGAAAAAATAAACGAGTGAGGATCTGAGCATCCTGTATATCTATGTTTCAAGATGTTGGATGTTCGAAATTTAAACAGCAGAATAAAATTATGTCAATGGCAAATATCTATGTACATTGATGAATGTACATAGATATCCACACAAGACTTGCACTTTGGTACATAGATATCAACACAAGACTTGCATCAAATTAGATGGCTATTCTTAGTAGCTGTTAATGCCTCTAAATACAACTGACGGACTCTTAGCGTAACTAAGCAAATCTTGAATTATCTCTTGAAAGGTTTGCTGAATGTACAAAAATTGAGTAAATCTAAGTCAAGAATCAATTTATTTATTTATATGTAAAAGTAGTAAGGGATTGTGCTTGACTGAAGCCTGAGGCATACTCATAAGTTCGAAAAGTTCGAATCTAGTCTTGGTCCTTACAAAAAAGAATGAAAACACAAATTTCATAATTTACAAATAATTTTTTTTCTAGTTTTCGCTTGATAAATGTATCTTGGTAGTCGTTTTTTCTTATGTCAAAATTGGAGGAAAATAATAGAATTTTGGTTCATATATTAAAAAAAAATCTTCACTTATAATTGTCATTTTAGTTAAGGGTGCATTTGGATACCATTGTGATTTTTTTGTGTGTTTTTGAGGTGTTTTTTAAGAAAAACACAACACCAAGCTGCTTTTCTCCAAAATCGTTTTCAAAACACTAAGGTGACTTTGTATATTTATTCAGTTATAAAGATATTCTATTATATAGCATGTATATTATTATATTATATATTTACTTATTAATCGAAATATTGTGTTAAAATATATAATGTAATATATTATAATATCAACTATACTATAATGTAATATATAATGTAATGGATTGGGCTTGACTATAATATATTAATATCGTGTTAAAAATGTTACACTATAATGTAATATATTATAATATCAACTATACTATAATGTACTGTATTTAATTAATTATCAGCTTTATAGTAATTCATAATAATTATATTATAATATTATTAGCTAATTAATTGTATTGTATATACTTTTAACATATTAATTATAGTTATTATAAATATTAATACAATGTAATATATTTCTTACAATATTTATATTATATTATACTATATGGTGCAAATATAGCATAATCAAATATTTTATAATTTATATATTAAGCATTGCTAATATATTACAGTTATTATAATATATTATTTTTATAATATAATATATCATTAGACAATAGTTACAAAACTCCAAACGCCTTACAAAACTCAAAACAAGGTGTGTCTAGATATGTATTTTGTTTTTGCTTTTGCACCCACATAGGTGTTTTGATTTCACCATGAAAAAATCATGATTTCTAGACGTATGGTGTTTTTATTTTGACAAAAACATTACAAAAACAAAGTAAACGCATTGGTTTCCAAACGCTCTTACTAGTGGGGCTTGTGTAACTCTTCTTTGTAAAATTTACTGTATCAGTAACTACATTTCAAGGGTTTAAAAAAAATGCCGACCCAAATAGCCTCCCGCACGCCCCAATGGGCCCTAAGTTTTGGTTCCGCAGCCTACAATGGCCCACTGGTTACAATGGCCCACTGGTAAACATTTCGTGTGTGCTGACGCAATCTCAAAAAAAAAAAAAAAAAGGTTAGCCTCGCTTTTGTTTGCGGGTCAATTTTCTCTTTCAACGTCCGCCGACATTTTCCTTTTCTGGTGCGTTCACGTTCTTTCCAGAATCCCCCCCTACCCCTACTTTCCTTCTCTATAAATATCACTCTAGAGACAACCAGACAGAGAGATTACGAGAACCAAGGACAAAAAAAAAAAAAAAAAGGTTAGCCTCGCTTTTGTTTGCGGGTCAATTTTCTCTTTCAACGTCCGCCGACATTTTCCTTTTCTGGTGCGTTCACGTTCTTTCCAGAATCCCCCCCTACCCCTACTTTCCTTCTCTATAAATATCACTCTAGAGACAACCAGACAGAGAGATTACGAGAACCAAGGAGAGAAGAAAAGATACACAGAAATCGAAAATGGCGAAGTTTTTTAGTCTGAACACGGGAGCAAAGATGCCGTCAGTGGGCCTTGGCACTTGGCAAGCCCAGCCCGGCGTCGTCGGCGATGCTGTCGTCGTTGCTGTTAAGGTAGTTTTACCACATTTAATTTTGCCCCCCTCATTTTTTTTTTTTTTTGGGTATCTGTTTTGAGAGGTAGGATTGAGATTTTGTTTGATTGGGTGCGATTTTTTGGGTATCTGTTTTGAGAGGTAGGATTGAGATTTTGTTTGATTGGGTGCGAATGCAGGCTGGGTACAGACACATAGATTGCGCTGCGATTTATGGGAATGAGGAGGAGGTATTATTAACTTATGCCATTTTAATTAATTTTAATTATTTTTCTGATAATTAGCCTAGAGGAAAATATTTTCGTATCAATTAAAAAATTTCTTGTTTCTGTTTTATTCTTAATTTTCAGCATTTTAACTCCAAGGTAATTGTTTTTATAATATATGGCACAAATTTCTTATAAAAAAACATACAATTGTTTCAAGAAAAGAAACGAAAGTGCCCCCTCCAAGCTTCAATTTCTGGCTAGGTCCCTGCTAAGAGTTGAAAGTTTAAGATTAAGCAAGTTCCTGAGGAGAAAATAGTTTATTCAAAATCTTGCCTAATTAATGTTACCATTAAGAATACAATTTAGTTTTTTTATACATACCTTGTGGTTAATGTTACTGTGATCACGGGGGCCCACCTCACGTGGGCGTCTGCCCACGAGCGCCTGCTTTCGTGCGCGGGCACGAAAGGTCCGTGCAGGGTGTCGGACGGCACTCCATGCATGCGATCTTGAATTTGAGTAGTTGTCGCCTAGCGCCAACACACCGTTTTTATACAAGCATGAAAGTTATTTCCCCATCATACGGTTCCGACGCAGTCTAATGGCTCCTGTGAGTAGTAAACCACTTCCTGTTTTGGGACATCACATCTGTGGTAAGATGCAGCCAGAATCAAGAATCCACTTTTCCGGAGTATCGCCCTCGAGCCAATCCGTGACAGACATAGCATTGCCTTATCGCTCCATACCTACTGAAGCGTAGCTCGCCTCTTCCTCTGCCTCTCGTCTTTCAGTCTTAGTTGTTATTCTTTTTCCCACCTAGCTCTATTGTTTTGGACAGGTCGAGCGCTGAAGTGCCCAACTTCGCACGGCATTTGAAACACGCTCGTCCCGCAAGAGGTCTAGATTTAGATGCTAGTTCTTTCCTCCCTTTGCCTTTTTGCCTGCGCTCCATTGCCTCTTCCTCTGGCAAACCAGTCCTGCGCCTTGTTCATTGTGTTACCCCACAGTGACAGTCAAATATACTAGTTTGGCAACTTTTCAAAGATTCATCCGCTAAGAAGCGCCGGCTCTAGTGCTGCATCCATCGAACAAAGTATCAACCCACAAGCATCAGTGTTTGCAGCAGGGTTCTCATAAGACCTGTCGGCAGAAGATAAAAAGTAGTAGAAGCGCCTGGTCCTGCGTCTCGCACATGTCACCCTTCAATGTCTTTCAAATCGCCGATATGATCCTATCGAACTTGTTGATGTACCCCGGATTGACGAGCCTGTCCTGCGCATGCTTGCAAGTATACAATTGGATTATTAAATAGATCCGGTTTCGTTAGATTCTTCGTCATGAATGTGCTGTTCTAACTTCAACCAGCAGCGCCCGCAGCGCGTTTCCATCGGGCCCGTCCACGCATCAGAAAAGCTACTTCCCTTTCAAGGCAAAGATAATCGATCGCCCGGTGTCTTCCAGATCCAGCTCCCCAATCCTCGATGCAGACCATAGTTTTGTGCTTCTCTCTTCCAGGCGCAAAGCCTTGGTGCAAAATTTTGCGGAAATCAGCGCGAATTTTCATCTGCATCCTCGCAATAGGAAAAATCATTTTTCCGACATTGATTATTCAATCTCGTATTTACGCAACTTTACTTTGTTTTAGCTTGTAGAAGCCAATTTCTGCTTGTATTATGTTAATCCGCGATTCTTCTGCCAGGAATTTTTAACAATTATTTGGTGTTTTAGCCACACAATATTCAACCACGGCACCATCAGATCGAAATTTTACACCTCGGTCTGAATAAAGGCCTCTGATAGCCATTGTTGGGGGGCAGAAGTCACGCGCCACCGCCGCGGAAGCGATAATGTCGCTGAGGAGAGAGCCTGGGCCTTTGGTTGTCAACAAATAGCAGCAAGTCAACCTCGCGATATTCTGTGGTTTCGCCGAAGGAAAACTGACACTCAGTAGCGAAATATTCTCAGCGAAGATGAGATCATGCCACTCTTTCTCTTCATGCAGCGCAAGAGACGCGAAATTTTTGAGTGGATTCCTGACAAGCAAATACCAACAACCGCAGAAAACAGTAAATACACAGAGATTTTACGTTTGTTCGGTCTACTAGCCTACGTCACCGGGAAGGGGGGTTTCATATGGAGGAGAATACCAAACTTTAGCAAATTCTCTCTCACATCACTCGTCTTCTTCTTTCTCTCAAGAAAACTCACACATACCCTAATTGTTTTTTACCACAAATTTTCCCACAAACATACTCTCCCTCCCCCTTCACTATTTAATAGGAAAACCAAAGGGGGAAATCCGAATAAATGGCGGGCTGAGACGGCGGGAATCAGAGCGGCGCGGACGGAGGGAAAATTTTTCCCCCGCGGAAAAATCCCGCGCCCAGCTTTCGTAGGACTCCTTCATGCTGAAGCATGGGTTTTCCCGAAGCGACTATGATTGTTGTGTTTACATTCGGAAGCTTCGTGGAGGTGATTATATCTATCTCCTGTTGTATGTGGATGACATGCTTATTACATCGAAGAACAAGGTGGAG